ATCACCTCAGGAACCCATCACTTCCCGGAAGTACCATAATTTTGGAACACCATGTACATCCACAACATGAAAACGGAGAGAACGTTCAATACGATCGAATCGAAAACAGAAACAGTATTTTTTAAAAATTCCTCCGCAAACAATCGAAACGCTGCACTTCATTTTCATCGTTCTATCCCAACAAAAACCCAAACACACGCACCAGTAATATAAAATGAAACGCTACAGCTCTTAAATATACAATTTCAATTGTCATACATTTCTCCCCGCTTTTTCTACGGAAAAACCGACCACCGCGTGTACGTCGACCCGGTGAAACGACCGTCCGAAAAACCAGCGGCCGATCGTCCAGAGATTTCGCTTAACGACCGGCCAGAATGACGACGGAGAACCCGGTTTCGTCCGAAGGTTTCATTAAATCCTCGCGACTCGAAACCCGCGGAACTTTGGAACAGTTTCGCCCGCACCCTCTCGGCCAAGTGGCTTCGTTAAACGCTCCCGCGGTGGACGAGGGAGGAGGAGGGCTCATTGTGTATTCGGCGCGGAAAGGGTCGTGTCCCCGTTCGAACGGCCGAAACCGATTCGTTGGCCGAGCATTCGATAATTTGGTATACTTCGTTTAGCATCGCAGAGAGAAAGAAAGTTCCGGCTGGTCGACGCGGCGAGGGCGAGGGAAGGGTGCGGGTCGGAGGAGCCTCGTGCGTCGGAAGGGTTCGCGGGACTCGAATAATCGATGGAAGATGGGATTGTCGAGATCGATTTGACCTTGAGAAGTGCGCGACGCGGATTTACGCTCGCGCGAACCGTTTCGCGCGCGTGCACGCGCCCCCCTGTCGCTGCCAATTATTCTGTTTATTCCGGTACGTCGATTCGAGCGTTCCTCTCGTCCGTCATCCAATCTCTCGTGATGCGCCTAAAGTCGCATTCGGTGCGCAGCGTCGGCGTCGCCGTCGACGGTGGTGGCGGCGGCGGGGGTGGTGGTGGTGAGGTTACGTAAAAAGAGATTTCGTAAATCGTCTCGACGACGCCCTGACGGAACGACGCCGCCGCCGCGCTATTCGTCTCCCCCCCGCGAACTATCGACAACTATATTTGCGATTCGATGTGCGTTGCGAATTCGCGGACACGTACCGTAAAGAGGACCGGACCGCGGCCGCCCGTCAGTCGGGCTAATTTTCAATCGCGGGCCGGAAGACAGCAACAACCCGCTTAAACCGGCGTTGCTCGGTCGCTCTCGGAACGAGCGGAAATTAAAAGTGGGCCGCCGCGAGCAGCTGACAACGGTCTTTGCCGAACGTGTAGCGATATCGCACAGCGCAGATTTTACCGAAGCCTCTGTCTGTATAACCCGTGCATTAGTTCTCGTCGGCGAGGAACAGGGGAGCCCTTTGAATCGCCTGCGACAGTTTGATGAGGTAAAGATCGCTAGGTCGGTCCCGATGTCCCTTCGGGCCTGGAAGTTTCCTCGAGAAATAATGCAGATTTCGAGCGAGCCTGTCGAGAGAGGCGAATCGGGTTTAACGTCGTGTCGCGATAATCGCTGCCGATGTCTCTTCTCGCTTCTCCGCGTTAGCTTTGTAAAAACGAGACAGATTTCGAGCGACCCGCGGTGAAACGGAACAACTATTTTCGTAGACGTCGTCGGCCGATCGGCGAAATTTTCTGCCGCAGCTTCGGTAAATTTTTGGCGAGCGATCACGAGGAAATACAGCGCGAGGAAACGCGAAAAATGAAAGGGGAAATGGAGAATTGCTAATAGCAGCTAATTTGTCTATTTATACATATATTAGATTACTATATTACTATATATATAATATTAGATTAGATTAGATATATATTATTAATTTATATTATTATATTATATTTAATATATTATATAAGTAATCACACAGTATATTAATATATTATTATATTATATTATTAAATTAATAATCATTATATTAGTATATTATATATTATATTATTATATTAGTAATCATTATAATAGTATATTATAGATTAGTAATTATTATAATATTAGATTACTACATATATTAGATTTACTTTATATTGATCGCAGCTATTAGCAGCTAATTCCTCCACTTCTTAAAACCTTACCACTAACGGGGGTGACTTTAGGTATTTTAGACCTCGGGCGGTTTTGAGCAAAACTCTAAATCATTGATTGAATTATGGTAATATCGAATGCAATGGATTTTTATTATGCACAGTTGTTAAACGATGAAATTTAACCGAAGCGAGAACATTTATTTTCCACGAATTCGTCGGCACAAGCTTGTCGTGGCATTGCCATGTATGTAGTGGTGGTGTACCTGCGCGAAATCTGATTGGTGCAAGCACGAATTTTAGGGATGAGTCTATAATCGCACTCCACCGTGCAGATACACTCGCTTAGCACCGCGAGAAGCGGCTAAGTCGAGCGATTGTCGAGTCGAATTCGATGGGCAAACAGAATACGCCAGATAATTCGCAACCTACTTAGGTGTCATTGTTCGTGGATTCCGGATGGTAAGCCGTGTGTCTAGGAGGAATTTTATCCCAAAGTTTCGTCATTGCAGGCGTATTGCAACCCCGCGCCCGCGATGCCTGCCGCAGCCGTCTGCAATGCCGTCGAAATAATAACTTGCGATCTTATTAATTTCGACGGAAACTATTCCAATTAGCGGGCGGAATTGAACCTTGACGGACGGTTTTAGGCACAGTGCCTGAGACCCACGGAAACTACGAGATGTGTTTGGTCACTCTAAAGTGTATACCAAAAAGAGGATAACCGGGATAGCATGGCAGTATGCCGGATCGTGGTGGAGATGGGGTGACCCTGACACGGCTCCGAATGTTATGATTCAATAAAAAAGAATCTCTTCCGCCGGTTAGATCCTCCGCATTTGCTACGAAGTATCCACTGCTTGGGCCCCACTAGCCTCTAACGTTTAACGTTTTGTTTATGCTTCCGTCCAGAGATAGTAAAATTACATTGTTTCGAGGTAAAACGACACATAGCTGTTCTAATTCAGTACTGACACATTTTCAAAAAATCGTGATTTAGAAATATATATATTTTTATTATATTTATTTATATTTGTATATTTTATTTTAGTTTAGTTTATTTTATTTTAGTTTATTTTACTTTATTTCATTTTATTTTAGTTTATTTTATTCCATTTTATTTTACTTTATTTCATTTTATTCCATTTTATTTTACTTTATTTTATTTTATTCCATTTTATTTTACTTTATTTTATTTTATTTCATTATTTTCGGGAAGCAAATTTTTATTTTTAGCAAATTATTATGGGAAAATAAAACTTTAAACGCCTTTTTCTTCAAACATCATTATTTAGACATATCTCAGCATTGAATTAGAGCAGCGACATCTGTAAGGTGAAAATTGACGCTGAAAGATGCAACAGCAAAGACAGCATTTCAATCGGCGCCAATTATCTTCTCGTCTGCCGTGTTCCGAGTTCTCGTTACTATTTCTTTTTCTTTTCGTTTTACGAGAACCGCAATACGTTCCCTGAATGTTGACCTAGACATTTCTATTTACGAGCATTCCAGGTCCCTCTATGCAGATGCATTAAATGACGGAAGCTCTTGTTCGAAACGCGCACGTTCGAGACTGTCTGTTTCGTTTGGCATCGGCACAAAAGCCGCCGTGCCAAAAAGCAAAGGGAGAGAGAACTCGTCTTTGTTTGACGCTGGGCGAAATCATTCGAATATCCCAGTCGGGAACCGATCACGCGCGCGCGCGACTAGCGCCACCGATAAATTTAAAAGACGCCTTGTCGCGCGGTGCTCGTCGCGCGAACCTTTTGTTTTTCTTTCGTTTTACCTTCGACGGGTATTAAACGATCTGATCGATCCGACGAAACGCTTTTACGTACGTTCGAACAAGCTTGATGCCACTTTAAAAAAAAACGCGTATCGATTTTTGACAAAACACTCGCGAGAGGAATGCACAATGATTTTAGAATCAGAAATGATCATGTTGTTCGTGCAGAGAACAATGATTTCATTTATACTCGTATAAAATAAATATATTATGTTTATCGACGACGGTCAATTTTGCGCGGCAATTTGAAATTCGGCGGTTTCGAGAACGAACGGATTTTAAATCGATGGTCTGTTAAATATCGGATCTTCTGATTTCATAGAAAATATAGATAGACTCTAAACTGTCTATAAGAATTGTTATTGTAGACAGACATAATGTTTGTCTTGGCTCGCGCATAGTTCGCTTGAACTCTCGTTCTTAGGATCTGCGAAAGTGTATGTATTTATTGAATTGCGTTTTATTAACCAATTGATCGGCCGATGATTGCGAAATAGATTACTAGGATTTTCTAGAACATTTCGCAATGATGTCTATGCCGTGTGCACGTGTGTGTACGTGTGTGCATGCGAGGGTGTGTGTAGAGAGGTTTAGCTGCAATCGATTGTAGTCGAGCCTCGAGATGTCGACTAATGTCATTATGACAACGCAGGTCCGCAGCTATTTGCGTGGTCGGACGAATCGTTTTTTCTCGGCGAGCAGAACTTTGTGCGTGCTGTGTTCGTAATGAATTGTCGCGGAAGCGTATTAGCGCAGTCGTTCGAAATTTCGCAGGTAACGAAATATTGTTTGCTCGGTGGAGAAAATTTGATTCTAGGAAATTGGCGCAACATCACATTTGGCACGTGTGGACGATGCACAATAAACCGATTGTTCCGCTGGTACAAATAGAACAGAAATATCCGAGAATGTCCGAAAATAGATACACAGCTATACGCTGCAACTTCTTATTTATATTTCTGTAGTATGTTCGGTAAAATGTTTCATGGGTACCGACTTAACCTTTCTTTTGTGCTTAGACAGTAGAAGCGGCGGCGGGTCGCTTTGTGCGAGAAGCATGGGCGTAGAAATGCAAATTGCTGAATGATTAGAATGCGAAACGTGTGTTTATCACAAACGGGGCAGACGTTTCTGCAATTAACTAACTATACTTTTGTTTCTGTTACAGTTTCCTGGTGAGTGCATCCTCACATACATGGAGTTTCAGCTGGATAGTGCAGAATACTGCCAGGCTCAACACAAATAGAGAGACGCGCCCAACCATCCTAGAACCTGCTAGGTATTGTTAAAGGGGAAGCAAGGAGGAATTATCTTTAATCAGGCAAAAACAAAAAAAAAAGAAACAAATTGGATATTATTGGGATCATTGCCTCAAAGTCCGAAAATCATCAGCTAGTCATCACGCAAGGCATAGAGAAATTAAATAGAATCAATTATTAATTTACATTATTAAATGCAAGCATCGTAGTTACTGAGCGCACCTGATCCAGGCGCACCCAGTGCCAAATAGGTGAGTGCCGATAATATAAATTTGATCATGGATCTTCTGGATCTGATCGACGAAAGCTTATACGATGAAATTTTGTTCCAGATAATCTTCCGAATCATAGTCAAGGATCCCAAGTGGGAATCAATCGCATATCAACAACGCCTAATGTAACGTAGCCCTCACTTTTTCAGCGAAATTCGCACCCCAACAACCCTTCTCGAGGTCTACATGTGAACCCACTGTTCTGTCCTCTGTAAAAAAATAACAAAGTATTCAATTAGTTAAATGAGAAACAACTCGATAAGACTGACATCTATGGGCTAAGTTGTCAAATCCGATCTTTGTTGCTTCGTATAGTGTGGCACATTACAAATACAAAAAGAAACCGTGTCGTACAAAATCATTAAAAAGAGTTAGAACAATACAAAAAAAGGAGTCAGGAGTATACCAGTTGTTGTCCAGGAGGAAATGAGCAACATGAGGGTGAAGGACATCAGGCCGGCGCCCGCCGAAATCGAATACAAAAACATGAAGTTCCTCATCACTGATCGGCCCAATGATCAGACCATTCATACATTCATCCAAGTAAGTTTATATTTATTCGCTTCTTAATAAACATCAAGGAATCGTATAGATTGGCGCTAACGAGTCTGTGTTGTTTTGATAGGAACTGAAGAAGCACAATGTGAAAGAAGTAGTGAGGGTCTGCGAACCAACATACAAGATCGAGGAACTTAGAGGAGAAGGGATTAATGTCATAGACTTGGTTTTCGATGATGGCACATTTCCACCTAACGAAGTAAATATAAACCTTGCAACTTTCTGAAACCATGTTTCATATGTCAGTCTATGTGCTTACAAGTGAATCTAAATTTCAGGTCGTCGATGAATGGTTCGAATTGCTGAAGAATCGGTTCCGCGAGTCCCCAGACGCATGTGTAGCAGTACATTGCGTTGCGGGACTTGGCAGAGCACCAGTGTTAGTAGCACTTGCTCTGATTGAACTGGGACTAAAGTATGAAGATGCAGTTGCATTAATCAGAGAGTGAGTGAAGATTCATTGTTTACAAGTATTCTACTGGTACATGATGCAAGGGAGACATAATAATCTGTGTGTGTTTGTTTAGGAAAAGACGAGGTGCCATCAACGCAAAGCAGCTGGCCTATCTTGAAAAATATCGTCCCAAATCTCGGCTGAAGCTCAAAAATGGACAAAAGAACTCCTGCTGCGTCCAATAGATTAAAACGATTTCTTTGAAAAAAAGTTACTAATTCATACTGATTGGTATACCTAATTGTATAGGTTTTCATGCCTGGTAACAAGAGACATACTGTACCGACTCTGTTCTGAAAGGCTTATCAATGGAAATGCAACCAAATTACTTCTTGAACAATTTGAAAAATCATATTTCACACCATCAAATTCATTATCAGGATCAGTAATCGATTTAAGAGAGAAGCAGAACTACTTGGAATGATTTGTCACTTTTCATTTACGAAAGTTTTTGTATTTATTTTTGATACTAAATTAAGATAAAATGCTGTGTGTGTGTGTAGATCAGGAAGAAGAAGCCTTTCGTGCTTGATAAAATTAGTAGCGAATTCGAATGGATCTGATTACCTGTATATTAAAAAAACTGGATCAACTTATGCATTGTACATCATACTCGGTGCCTCGTTCAAGGCTGTTACGTACAACAAATTTTCGAAGCCTGCATTTACTTGGTCCTAGAAAATTATAATATTCAATATGTTACCAATCATTTTATGAATATTAGTTGATGCGTTATTTATACGAAATATGTTAGGGATTATTGAGAGAAAAGAAAACGCATTAAATTCTCATCATTTCTTGTAAAAATGGTTCCTTTGATACTATTGTATCCAGCTGTTGTAAAACGTAGCTTTTTAGAGAAATTAGTGCAATGAAAACTTACGTTTTTCCAGAACGGTTGAATACAGGAAATATTTAAGTGTCTTATCGAGAACAATTTTTAAAACCAGAACAAATAAAAAGACAAGATCTGTACACAAGCCTTTTTTTTACAAATAATGAGATAAATCATATTTATTGAAGGAGTATGTATCATACAACACTCAACAAAGTGTGGTTTGTACAATAGTGATATATTATTTTTATTCGAGGGAATGTGATTGATATAACAATCTATTCACTTTAATTTGTAAATGTATTCGATCCGATTGATTAACTGGTGTGCACACGATAATGCAAATATTCTGTGGACATTGTTCTTTGTTTTTGACGGGTAACATAAAATTGGTGTTTAACCTGAATATGATGCATGAGCGACTAGTATTGAAGTGCAGCATATATTTTGAGACACTTATCACAATTATAAAACGAAAAGCGTAAAATTTGTATAAAAATTGAATATAAAATAAAGAAAAATTTCGTAAAGGTATATTCGATAATTTAAAGAAACGAACGCTAATGGCTAGATTCTTTTTTCCTTTTTTTTTTTTATTTATAGAGGTAAAACGAGAGGGAGAAACATAGTGTTGCATTTCCAGTGGCATGCCGAATTGATGGGTATTGTTCTTAACTCTTATTGGACTTGAAATCTACGTTAAAACTTCAGTAACGAATATTGCGAAGCAAAATGAACTAATTACAACTCCAGAGTTATATATCACTTTTATCGTAGCTTAACGGCAATTTCACCAAAATTCTTTTAAACATCCACTTTTATTCGATAAATTTTAGAAGCTGCATACGCGTTTTGTGTGAAGCGTCTCCGTGATTCTATTTCCAGCGATTTTGGTAAAATTGTCGGTGATGCTGTACGCAACACTAAACTGTGTTCAAAAGATAGA